CAGGAGGGAGGCTGGCACGCAAAGGAGAGCACGACCGGAGTAATTCTTGCTTCTTCGTGGGCGCGAGGTGGCCCCTTCCAATTGGGGACACCCCCAGCACGGGGTTACGCTTGCCTCTGACACCCTTCGCGCCTTCAGCTACGACATGGCTTGGCCCCTCGCTGCTCAACTCGCACACAGGCACTCACACCCACATCCTGCTGTTTCGTGGGTTCGAACGTAAATTGTGTTGTGTGAAGCTTTTGATCCTGCTTTTTTGAAACTTAATGCATAGATTGTTTTCTAATGTATGAGGCCTGCAAACAGGTGTAGGAATGTGTGCATTAACTTCATTTTATTATACTGTTAACAGAACAAATGTGTTCCTATAAAGCCCAGCTGAATATTGTAGATGAGTTTCTGTTTCGGGTCCTTGCTTCCTCCTTTAAATCCTTGATCCTTCCAGCACTCTCTGCTTCAGCTGACCGCCTCAGAGGCATTGCCTAAGAAGTCACGGGAGCGTGGGCTTGGGCGTACCCTGGGTCTGCACGCAACATCTGGAGCTGCAGCCACTGTGGTGGCGTAAATTCAAGTCCGAAGCATGGCTGCCTGCAGTGCAGCACGTTATCCACAGCAACTGCTGGCTAAAAAGCACCACAGCCCAGCCCCTTGTGTCGGTTGGCTCTGAGTAATGGTCTGTCCAGCCGTCAGGAATCACCCAGTTGGGGGTCATGAGGAGCTGGCTGGGATACCTTCTCACTTGGCCTTTTCCTAAGATTGAACATCAGTGTGACTGGCTTAGCATGTGGCGGACTGCTGAGACTCTCATTTCAGAAAATCTGTAGTGTTCCGCACTGTTAAAGACCAGGCTGCCGGAGCTGGGATGTCTCAGCACAGCAGCTGCTCAGTCTGATGCATGTGATAACCAACTATCAGGCAGGCTGCTGAATTCTGTGAATAGACGCATCAGTGTATGTGCTCCTACAAAGCAAGGGTTGCTTTTTTTTTCTCCAATAGTACCATTTTTCGTGGACAACTACTTTCTTTTCAATTCATGATTTTTGGACGCATGTGTTCGTATTTTTGGCCATGCCAGAGTTAATTAATATTCTTATTTGTCTCCTTCATGGTACAAGTACCATTTGAGCCTGGCACCAAAAGCTGTTAGCACTGTTAATTCATAATGACGTCCGAAGCACTGAAAGATCTGAAAGTCCTTTAACAAATACTGGTGTGAAAGAAACATAACAAGAAAGAACTCTAACTAGTATTACCTATAAAAATACATGAATAGTTTGTGAAAGATGTTAGACAAACACACAACCAATATAAATGTCTTCCTCAAGATCACAAATGGAGAGGGAGTTGGTACTAGTGACTGGGAGAATCTGGACATACATTCCAGTTCTGGCTTGGGCTGCTAGTTGCAGGCTACCTTCAGAACAAAAGTATATATAAAATATTTAAAATGAGGGGGTAGGATTAAAACAAATTCTTATATTAAAAATAACAAAACCTATATGCATGACAATACAGACCTAATGGCAGTAGCAAATGAAATGTAGTAAGCATTCTCATTTGTACAGTATCTATTAAAAAAAACGATGTGTTCATACCGATATGCATGTAGAACTTGCACTCCTCTTGTAATCTACCAGAATCATTCATTGATATTAAAAGTATTTCAAACCATTTTTATGTTGCTGATTAATTCTTTACAGCATGGATTTAACACAGCCTTTTGTTTTAATTTAGATTATTCCAAACTGCAGGATAATACCAGTATTCCTTCACATAGCTGCGGAACAATTGCTGGAGGTGATTTAGAGATTAAACTTAGATTCACAGTTTTAGGAAAGGCACAGCACTGAAGAAGCCTCCAGGGTGGAGTGCAGCTGGCATGCAAGGAACCCGTTTCACGGAAGCTCCCTGGGCCTGCAACCTTAGACGCCGGCAACACCAGGGGAACTTGGTGTGTTGGCTCTAAGAGGAACTGCCCGGAGGGTGGAGCGGTGTGGAGACACCGCGGCCAGGCTCCGTGTGGCACCCCAGATGGGACTGCTGTGAGCATTCTGCCCAGCCGGGGCAGATCCTGTGCCCTTGGATTCCCCAGTACACTCCGTCAAGCCCGGAGACTTGGTCTATCTACAGACATGAAAAGATGAAGCATTTGTCGCCTTATTGCTGCTGCTTTTAGTCCCTGTATAGTCCTGACTGTGCC